ACAGAATCGGGGAGATCAGAAGTTGTATTTAACGATTCCCAATATATCGGAATTGTCTAATCTAGTCTGGCTAGCGATTGCAGCAGATGTTGAGCACGGCGTTCTCACACGTGATCTAGTGCGGATGCGTGATCGAGCGCATTCAGCTAGGTGAGTCCATTTAAACTAATCTGGTCAGCATTGAATGTCGAAAACTTACAGAGCTATTTATTTTGGGAATTTATTTACCGCTACGGATCACTCCCCGCTAGTGGGGTAGTGATGACCCTAAGACGTGGCCAGCCAGATTTTTAAACCCAACGAGCTTGTCGTTGGTAAACACTCTTCTGATAGCTTGCTAAGTTTAGCAGCATCTGGTCGTCTTTCTTTACTATATAGGACCATGAAGTACAGTATAGTAAAAAAAGAAAAAGTACAATGAAAATTTCGTCTCCTCTTAAACTTCGTCGCTCTTTCCCAGCCATCCTGGAAAAGAAAGAAGAAAATATAAGTGCATGTCGAAATACACTCGCACGCGCGTAAAAACACAGTGTCGGCGAAAAAAGTGGAAAATAAACTCATATACACGTCATATCGTTAAAAAGGGTTTTAATAATGTTTTTTTAAATAAAAATATAAATATACAAGCATATTAAAATTTTTTTACAAAAATTATTACATATGGTTAAAAGAAAAATCGAGACAATATAAAGTGTCAAGCATTGCCTTATGTGCAATAATCGTTTAAATGTCCTGGAAATCTTACTCTTCCTTCAGAGCGTGTCGTCTCAAGTTCGTTTTCTGATACTATTGAAGTATCATCGTGTGCGTTGCCTGTCGGTTGATGTATTATAGGCGTAGGAGTCGTGTTGTGCGATTGTACCGAAGGGAAATCGACGTGAATAGGATTTCCTTCTAAATACGCTGCGTTCAAGCGATCGATGCTGATGCTATCGTTTGTTCCGTTCTTATCGACTATATAGTACTTAGTTTCTTGTTGGAGAACTTTGAAAGGTCCTTCGTATGCTGATTCGAAAGGTCGTCGATGAGAGTCTCGACAAACGAAGACGTGTGTACTATGTCGCCAGTCAGGTTGAACGAAAACATCAGTTGACTGAGGTCGAGTGGAAACAGGTTTAACTGAACGCATTGCGTTTGTAAGCCTGTTCGTGTCGGATGTTAGGCCCATGTTTATTAAGGAAGATGAAGGATCCACGAATTCTCCTGGGAGTCGAAGTGTCATTCCATAAACGAGTTGAGCCGCAGAGTATCCAATGTCAGCTGTCACTGCATTGCGAATACCTAGTAAGACGAGTGGAAGAGCGTCGGTCCACTGTGAAACGTTTGCAGCTGACAGTGAAGCTTTTAGTTGTCGGTGAAAACGTTCTACCAACCCGTTTGCTTGTGGATGGTATGCGGTCGTTCGGAAGCGAGTGATTCCTAAAAGTGGGGTCAGACGACGGAAAAGATCAGATTCAAACTGACGTCCGCGGTCTGTGGTGATGGTTGAAGGGCAGCCGAAGTTTGCTACCCATCGTTCGACGAAGGCGCAAGTCACTGTTTCAGTAGTGATGTCCTTGATAGGTACTGCTTCTGGCCATCGAGTGAAACGGTCTACGCAGGTTAAGAAATAAGAGTATCCATTTGAATCTGGTAAAGGTCCTAACAAATTCAGACGAACATGGTCGAAACGAGCATCTGGAGTTTTAAATGAGCCTAAGGGACATTTATTGTGTCTGATAACCTTAGATTTTTGGCAGCTTACACAGGAGCGTGCCCACTCCCTCACGTCTTTATTCATTCCAGGCCAGCAAAACCGTTCTGCCACAAGCTTGATGGTTGCACGAACGCCTGGATGAGAAAGTTTGTGCGATGTATTGAAGACATTGCGTCGATAACGTTTTGGCACGATTGGGCGATCCTTACCTGTAGACGTGTCACAAAGAAAGGTTTCCTTAACTGTTTCCATCTGTTTGATGCATAGCTTGAGTGTTATGGACGATAACTCGTGCTGAAGATCAGTGTCTTCTTTTTGAAGCTTGACTAGTTTCAGATGTCGATCCCTTGGAAACTGTTCAAGGAAGTTATGCGAGACAAAGCGGCTGCGACTGCACTGTCCGCTCCAGAAATGTGTTGAATATCTGAAGTAAACTGTGAAATGTAGTCTAGTTGTCGAGACTCACGGGGAGAGTACTTGTCAGAGGAAGAGCTTAAAGAAAAGGTAAGCAGCTTATGTTAAGTGAAAAGGGTAAATTTTTGGCCTTCGATATAGTGTGGAAAATGCGTGCAGCACAATCCATAGCTAGGAGTTCCCTACAGAATGTGCTGTACCTCGATTCGGTGTCTAGCAACCGTCTAGAGAAAAATGCAGAAGGTTGCCAGGAGTTTTTAACCCATTGTTGTAAGACTCCTCCGATTGCTGAGTCGGATGCGCCTACTGCGATGCTAATGGGTGCCTGAGTGTCCTGATGTGCAAGCTTTGTTGCTTCGGCGATAAGTTCCTTAATTGTGGAGGATGCTTTTCGTGCGGTGTCGTCCAAATTAATGGATTTCGCATTTCCACGAAGTTGGTCGATAAGAGGTTTCATGAGTAAAGCGCATTTAGGTATGAATCGTCTATAGAAACTTACCAGGCCGTCAAACGTGCGTAATTGCTTGACGGTGGTCGGTTCTGGGTCGAATGCCTTGAGCATCTATAGTGTGTCGTAGGAAGTTTAATGAGTCAGCTCCGATTTGGCATTTCTGAACGTTTACAGTAATGCCATGTTTTTGTAGTCGGTCGAAAACAAGATCCAGATGCTTGAAATGAAATGTTTGAGCAGCGTTTCTTAGACCGAAAGGCATTCGCGAAAATTCATAAAGTCTGAAGGGAGTAATAATGGCGGTTTTCGGGATATCGTCTGTAGCCATAGGGATTTGGTTATACGCTTTAACCATGTCGATTTTCGAAAGGACAGTTGTACATTTCAAGGTAGCTGTATAATCGTGAATGTGAGGCAACGGGTAACGATCGGGAATGGTTTCCGCATTCAATCGCCGATAGTCACCAGTTGGACGCCAATTGTTGCTGTCCTTTTTATGGACCATGTGTGACAGAGATGCCCATGGGCTGTTTGACGGTCGTATGATTCCTTAGTCTATCATGTGGTCAAACTCGTTTTTCGCCAACGTCAGCTTTTCGGGGGCTAGTCGTCGTGCTTTACAGAATACAGGTGGTCCTGTAGTCGTGATGTGATGTGTAACGTTGCTGGTTACGCACGGTATTTTCGGTTGTGCTTGATGAATCCCAGGATACTTATCGAGTAGTGGTTGATAAAGTGGGTCTATCGTATGCCTAATTGTGACTGGGGATAATCTGCAATCAGAAAAAGAAGTTACGCAAACGGACAAATTAGTGTTACCGTCTACTGGCCTCCGTTTGCGCGTATCGATGAGTAGATTATGGTGTTATAGAAGGTGCATACCAATGATTGGCATAGAAACATCTGAAACAACGAAGATCCAGTGAATGGGTTTTCGTAAACCCACGTTAAGGTAAACATACCTTTTGCTATACGTAGCGATAGGTTTTCCGTTTGCCGCCTGTAAGTTTAAAGCCGATTCGTGAAGCCGGTCGTTGAGATTCGCTGGGAGAACGCCAACTTCTGCGCCAGTGTCGACGAGGTAGAGAACTCTCGTTGTCACATCTGTGACGTATAACAGACGGCTATGTTCGCCGGCAACGGTTGCTGTTAACGCGTGCCGGCCTGGAAGTTTCACGAGTTGTTTTTCGAGTCAGTCGATCTTGAGTTGGGAAAATTGCAGGGTTTTCTGTAATTTCTGGAAGACTTTCCATACTGGTTATGATACTAGCACCAGTCGGGATTATCCGTCTCTCGTGGTCCAGAGACAGATCGCTCAGGTGAAGTGCTTCTACGTGCGGTGTGTGATCGCTTACGGTCGTTACGAAAATTAAGATAACGCGTTATGTCATTCTGAGTCATTTGAGGCTTTTCTTTGACTGAAAAAACCTCGGTAGTAGAAGATTTAGTGATTTCTAAGATATGATCGGCAGATGCAGCCAGCTCGTCTTAGGCGTTGTTGCGAAACGAGACCAGAACCGCTTGCACTTGTTGGGGAAGTTTGGACAAGAAAAGTCGTTTGAATAGGCCTTCGTCGAAAGTTCTTAGGCCTGTAACCTCTCTCATCCCTTGCGACATGTCCGTCGCAGAACCGTGTTGCAGGTCTATGTTATTAAAGAGTTGGTCTAACCTAGGTGTTACGTACCTGTTGAATTCCCGCGGTAGTGCCTTGACTACTGCGAGGAATTGTGCACGTGTGTCGTTCACACCGTGCTCGTGGAAGTCGGTGGGGACATTGTCCTAATCTTAAATACCTTGAGGGTCTGTTCAGTCATGGAGGAAAGTCAAGTACGATAATATACGAGTGAGAGTATATAGATATTCAAAAACGCGGGGAAAAAATATCAAAATGTATAAAAAATTAAGATAAAGCAATAATATATAGAATCCCGAAATGGAACAGAAATCAAAAGACAGAATCGGGGAGATCAGAAGTTGTATTTAACGATTCCCAATATATCGGAATTGTCTAATCTAGTCTGGCTAGCGATTGCAGCAGATGTTGAGCACGGCGTTCTCACACGTGATCTAGTGCGGATGCGTGATCGAGCGCATTCAGCTAGGTGAGTCCATTTAAACTAATCTGGTCACCATCGAATGTCGAAAACTTACAGAGCTATTTATTTTGGGAATTTATTTACCGCTACAGACGTACAGACTGTCTTGGATTCGGCATGACTATTAACCAACTAAGACGAGATTAGGAACTATGTACGTTTCTGTTTTAGTACAAAAATAGGTGTTCTCTGAGTTGCCGAATAGCTCTTGTGATAATGAGAGGTTTGCAGGTCGCCGTTGTTTGAAATAGTTGGCTGTAGCGTTAGATAGGTATATGCTTATTATCAGTAAGCCGAAATCTTTCATGTCCCACGTTTGTCCAAATTTCTGGGATTGTGTGGTGTTTGAATGAACTAATGATACTTTTGTACTTGTTGAATGCTTGATTTCAAATTCTAAATACAGTACATTCGTTTGTGGTTATCTAGTACTTCTTGATCCGATTATGCTAATTCTTGGATTCTTAGTTCGTACTATAATTCAAATACTTCCGATTATCACATTGGCGTCGCGATGGAGCCTGTGATGTAACAGTTAAATATTCATTCAACTCCTGAAGCTTTTGAGGATTATTTGGAAATGTTCGAAATCTAGAGCATGACCAAGAAAGATGTTAAAGGTGATAAAATTGTGGCAGATTTCCTGAAATTCATCGGAGGGGAAGTGTACAGCTTAATAAAAACTTTGGCATATCCAGAAAAACCTATCTCACTTCCTTATGCAACTCTTAAGGAGCTATTATTAAATCATGTAAAGTGCACCAGTTTTGAATGCCGTGAAAGGGCGAAGTTTCATAAGATGATTCGTCAAAATGATCAAAAGGTTAGCGAATTCATCCTTGAATTGCAGAAACAAGCTGCTAAACGTAATTTTATGATAGACTTCATGTGCAACTGAGATATCGATTAATTGCAGGAATTAACACACCGGGTTTGGAAAGAGAGCTGCTAAGAATGCCGAACTGTTCCTTTCAAGATGCTAGAACTGCGTGTATTAACTGCGAGACAGTGAATGAAGTTAATATCCAGTCGATGAAGATTTCTAATACTTTACTTAGTCGTCATGATGAAATACAATCTTAGGGTCAATCAACCTTGCGTTCGTTTAACAGTGATTCCCATTCTCGTGTAAATATGAAAGGTGTTTTGACAAGGAATTACAAAGCAAATCACGAAGGTGAGATGAAGTTTGGTAAATGTTTATCATGTGGAAAGTTTCATCCCCGTAATTCATGTGCATTTCGTAATGCCAAATGTTTTAAATGTGGTAAGATAGGACACATTCAGTCAGTATGCAAAGTTACTGTCCATTTTGCTTCAAGTAGTACTAAATCTTGTAGTTTAAATCCCACTAATTCAGCTGTTCCTAATGATCATTTATCCTTGTCTACCATTTCTGAAGGTAATGCCCATATTCAAAAGCGATTATATACATCGCTTGGTTCATTTCCTGACTTTGTTGTGGACACAGCCAGTATAGAGTCCATTATTTCATTCAAGAACTTGAAATCTTTAGATCCTAACGTTGTGGTACGACACACTGAAGTATCAATATTGGGGATTACTGGACACAGACTGCCCATACGAGGATGTTGTGAATCGCTAATCAGAGATGATAATTCTTCATACATACCTTGTGAATTTTTAGTTGGCGAAACAGGACTGTCAATATTAGGTTTAAAGAATTTGAAAAGGCTTAAAGTGGAGTTGTCCTTCCTAGTTTCTAAAGAAAATTCTGATACTTTACTTAAAGATTTGATAGCAACGTGTGCTACGTGCAGAGGAGGTATGAAAATTCAGCCTATAAAACTTCAAGTGCAGGGTGATCCAGTCTTCCTTAAAAGACGAATGATTCCTTATGGTCTTCGAGAAGCAGTACATAAGACATTAAACGATTTGTGTGTGTAAAAGGCATAATTGAACCAATTCAGTCTTCAGCATGAGGTACTTCTATCGTTACGCCACTGAAGTCGGACGGCAAGACCCCTAGAATTTGTGGTGACTATAGATTAACTCTGAACTCCCGTTTGTTGAAGCAAACGTGCACGACGGTGGGGGCTGAAGATATTCTAAATCGACTTCATGGTTCTAAATTGTTCTCGAAAGTTGACCTAAAAGATGATTATCTTCAAATCTATTTAGATCAATCTTTATCTATTTTGACGATAATTAACATTCCTTTTGGTCTGTTCAAATACAATTTCCTTCCATTTGGTCTAAGCTGTTCTCCAGCCATATTTCAGGAAGTTATGAATAAAGTAGTTAGTGATCTTGAAGGTGTTGAAGTTTATCAAGATGATCTCATTGTTCATAGTTCTAATAAGGTAGTTTATGACCAGAGACTTATTGCTTTATTGCGTCGTTTAATTGAGAAGAATATAACAGTGAATCCAAATAAGTGTTCATTTTGTGTATCTAGTTTTGAATGCCTTGGATACCTAGTTGATGGTAATGGTTTTAGACCAGATATGAAACGACTAGCTCCACTGACTAATGCACCGTCTCCGAAAAATCTTACAGAATTACGTTCACTAGTGGGTGCTCTTCAATACTATTCCCGTTTTATTTCTTATTTTTCTTGTCGTGCAGATTGTTTATTTAATATTTTGACATCCAATTCATTCAAATGGAGTGAGGGATAAGAGTCATGCTTACGGAATCTACTAAAGTTTCTTCAAAATGATGCTGTTCTTCGAACTTACTCCCCTAGTGTGCATTCCGTTCTTATTACTGGTGCATCACCTGTGGTTATTTGCGCGGTTTGGTAGCTGGAAGGTAGACCTGTTATTTGTGTTTCACGCAAACTTACTGTTACTGAACAAAGTTATTCACAGACTCAGCGAGAAGCATTAGCTTTGTTTTGGGCTGTTAAGAGACTTCATAAATATTTATCAGGAAAAAGTTCATTATCTTTACTGATCATGAAGCTTTAAAGTTCATTTATCATCCTGAAAAATCTTTAGCACGTTCCTCAGTTGCTATGGTTCAACGATGGAGTATTGCTTTGAGTGCATATGACTATACGGTTCAGCACAGAAGTGCCAAACAAATTCAACACGTTGACTACATTGCTCGACAGTCATTACAAGATAGACCTGCTAATACTTCAGACTGTTAGTTAGTGAAACCTTTACCAGTGAGACGTCCAGATCTCATTAGAGAAACTCATAGATATTTTGGAAGTAAACGCAGTGCTATACGGAAAGGCTGGACTGCTCATTTCAAACGTAGATTTCCTGTTTATTTTTCAAAGCGGGATGAGTTATCCACTACTCCTGATGGTATTGTGTGTTTAAATGATCGTGTTATCATTCCTCCTTCATTGCGTAAATCTGTTCTCGAAGATCTTCATAGTGGTCATTTAGGTGTTGAGAAAGTGAAGTCCTTGGCAAGTCCCACATGTTGGTGGCCAGAGATAAATGCAGATACATGTCGTACGGCAAACAATTGCGAAAAATGTCATCAGATGAAAATTCATCCTTCGAAATGGACTCCATGGCCAGTATCGTCTGAGACCTGGAAGAGAATTCGTGCAGACTATTGTGGTCCGATTCTTGGCAAATACTATGCACTGGTAGTTATTGATTCTTTTTCAAAGTGGACTGACGTTTTTTTACAACTTCACCAGATTCTGATTTCACAATCCAAGGATTAAGAAAGGTGTTTAGTCGGGAAAGAGTGCCCATGGTGTTAGTGACCGATGATGGCTGTCATTTTGCTGCAGATTCGGTCACTGCCTGGTTGAATGGTATAGGGTGCAAAAATCTGTTTACTGCTCCCAGACATCCTTGTTCTAATGGTCAGGGAGAAAATTTTGTCAGGACATTGAAGACTGCTATTGATCCTATAGCCGCCTCAAAATTTAATGAGCTGGAGAGGGGAGTAGTTACTTTTTTATTGCAATACAGAAATGCCAGACATTCGGTGACGGAAGAGACTCCACCAAAATTTTTCAAAGGAAGAATTCTTCGGTCAAATATGAGATGTTTGGAGTCTGCAGAAGTTACATATTATCGTGGAAATGATCTTTAAACATCCACGGGAATTGTTCTGAAGAATGTGGGGAAATCTATGGTGCGAATTCTAGACATCAATGACTTAAGTACACACCGTCGACATGTTGATCAAATACAATTTCAGGAACCAGGTGAGTCCCGACTTCCGTTGTTAATTCTAACGCTAATGAGCACATTCTAGATAATACAGAGTCCTTATCCAATACACTGATCGACAGACACAGGATGAACTTGAGAAGACGTGCAATTGACTACAGACACCTAGACTCCAATTTAAGCTGTGGCGGATGTAGTGTTTGAATGAACTAATGATACTTCTGTACTTGTTGAATGCTTGATTTCGAATTCTAAATACAGTACATTCGTTTGTGGTTATCTAGTACTTCTTGATCTGATTACGTTATTTCTGGGATTCTTAGTTCATACTATAATTCAAATACTTCCGATTATTACAGATTGTTACTGAGTTGTCACTCAGTAACAGAGCTAATTATTAAGGAATTTCATTTTAAAGATGACACTTGGACAATCCAGGTCTTTTGGCTTATTATAACATGTACTGTGTTGGGAGTCGTCGTGGTAGACTGAGTGCTAAAACGTTGTATATCTCACCATAGTTTAAGTGAGGGCGGCATTCTCGCCATAGGGTAGTTTTCTTCCAATTTGGCTCTATTTCTCTAACGGTCGGAGTGTTCTGTTTCGGAGCTCTTCTAGTACCCAGAGGCGGACCAGTGGATAAGTGACATGGCTTTAGTTAGGACATAAATGTCCTAAATTTTGTGTGTGTTATTCGAACCCGTAAATTATCTGCAGCTTTTATAACTACTACATATATTTGTGGATGCAAATGGTATGAGCATTGTAAACTAGTTAAATGCAACATTGTTTGCCCACTTGAAAACATATAGGCGCTTTTGAGGGTGCTTATCCATTATCTTTTTATTTCAGCGTCACAATTATAGCACGCATTCAGAAAATCTTCTTCTTTAACGTGGACCAAAGTTTTGAAGTACGCATTTACCAACATTATGGCCCTGGTCCTTGTCACTCGATAATAAATACAAACTTGATGAGCCGTTTTACTATTTACATCTGATTAACAATTAGCTGATACGTTTTCATGAAGACTGAGTAGTGAAATTTTCATCATATTCTTATGTGTTTCTCCTGAAGGTACTTTGGTAGCACTCTTAATGTGCATAGCAGTTTTAAAAAACAAATTGCGTCTGTAAAAAGGCATTTAACTACTCTCATAAATGTATGACGGCAATTATAATTTGACGATGACTCGAACGCCAGTGACTCGAACATATGAGGTACTTGTGACGGCGCAGGATGAAGTCATATGTTCAACATATGTTTTCGGTAGTATACCATGACGGTGTTGAGAATGAGAGAGGAAAACGTAAAGGCAAGAAGCAGAACAGTCAGTGCATATGAATAGTATAGTTCAGTCACTAGTCATTTGAGTACTTAGACTTATTCTCTTGTATTGGGTCAATTTCTGAGCGAGTATATTTCGTTAGGTTGAAGAAGACAAGCCAGAGTATAGCTTGAACGAAGCATTATGTAAAATTATATGATTCAAATCTCCGAAAGCTTAAGATGGTGTATATTTTTAAAATTCAGTAAGGAAAATATCAGCCGGCTTTTTATCGTCAAAATTATTATAACCGATTTTATTGTTAAAATTTTGTAGAGATATAAATGAACTCCTATTTAGTTTATTCGTCTAGTTTTGTTTACAATAGAACTTTTCGGTAGGAAATGAAACCAACCCAAGATCACACACATGAGTCATAGAGGCTTTTAGCATGAGAAATTAGCATCGATACTATTGATTACTTACACCCCCCTGGACCATAAGGAGCCGTGATTTTACAAAAGTATAGTCTAGGTTGGTATTAGAACACGTAGAAATGCTACTACGATGACAGGCACATTCAGCAACCGTGGATTTGCTATGGCGTAACTACGTGGTCAATCAGACCTCACGTGGGAGTCACATCGTTAACTAGACTGGTTTGTCGTATCGTGACAGCAAGTGATTGCGATTGAAGAACACGTTTGGGGTGAGAGGAGAATTATATATTTTGTAAAGAAAGCAAGATGTTACATAGTGGTGACCATGTGGTGGCATTGCTCGCAAGCTGAAAATTTCCTGATAACTTATATGTCATCAAACTCTGTTCAAATTCTGCGTTACGAATTTCGCTTCTCGCTTATGCTACCTCTTTTTGAAACTGGCTTCTTAGACAATTCTTAATGTCAGAATGTGTCATGAGCAAGGCGATTATGGATAAAATAACTGTTCAGTCATGGTGAAGTGACCTTAGGAATGCAAGATAGATGGTATGTAAGCCACCCTTTCGATTCACTGAAAATTCCATAGACAAAATATTTTCTGACAGAGCAATTACATACTACATTCACAGACATGATCAATAATTCATAACAACGTCATTCTTCTTCTAGATTTGTAACGACAAATAATCTTTTGAAACATATCTCTCGGGTATTTGACCAATTTTGCTGGACACAATCTAACCGTATGTGCTCAATCAAGCACCCGCTACAGTTCACTCTCCAACATGCAGTGGAATGGTTCCGTAATCTCAAACACTTCGTACAAATATTTCACGTAATTCCATGAACAAATACATCTTTAACCTCAACCGGTATCGAGCTCATCTTTGTTTCAGTTGAAGATTCTTATGTGCCTGCACTACTTGATTCTTTCATGAACAAGCAATCTTCAAAAGAGTAAAGTACGTGCTCCATCAAATCAGTGGAAAATCCCATTTGCAGCGTGCAAGGCATTGTGTAACCAAGATTGCAGGAACTCAACAGAGTACGTCATTGATGTAAACGTTAGAGTTTAGTAGTCAACACAACTGGTGGTGGCTGGATATGTATTGGAGAAACGTTTGCTGAAATAAGACTAACACTTGGCAAGAACGTACTGCTTTGAACTGCGTCAGTAATTGACCTTATAGTGGATCACACTCTTGACGTCCCTGAAAATTTCCCCAATAAAGCGTTTGGAAAGAGTAAATTGCCAGGTTTCATTCCTCGTAGCTTGTTTACACACGAATCTAGAATCATTTTTTATAAGATTTGGGTGTTGGATACTGTTCGTTTTGACTTTCCAACTTATGCCTATCTGATATACCGAAGGTGGAATAAGCACAACATTACTGCACTTGCGAAATTGTCGAAACAAACATACCTGTCGACTACTTCTGCTGATGCCATAACCTAGGATTTGAATGTTCACGGAAAAAGGCATGCCCTGATTTGTTCTCGACTTTAGGCCTTCTTAAGAACTTCTTTTCTCCCTTTGCAACATAGTCCTTACCTGAGGCTCACATATATATTACGTTCGTGATAAAGTACGGCTGAGGATGAGGCAGTCGATCAGTGATATACAGCCTGTCCATTCCAAGACTAATGATTCCAATTTTGCCCTGACCACACTATTCTACTACGATAATCTGCGACATGTTAATTTGGCAAGTAAATGAAGTCAATCGTCGTTCGAAAAAGTCCTCATAATGACTGATTAAAAAGCAATGAATTAGAACCTAGAAACCCACCATATAGTTGCCTCATTTGTACAAAATGGATATATCTCTTGGAATTAGTACGGAGGTGTGCGGCAACATGGGTCGAAGGATTGGATGACAAAAACTATCTAGACCGGGATTTTTGCCCGAGATCGTACTCGCCAGGCCACTGGACAATAAGAAGCAAATTGTTCGAGGTATACATTATACCCTACACTCCTGACCACTCTGAAAACAACATTCGACCAAACATCAAAATTAAATTTCAAGAGGCAAGCAGTGACAAATTGCGTCTGAAAGAATCCATAGCCAAGCAAGAACATATTTCATATGTGTACGGGTTGGATCTGACAATAATCCTTTCCTGCCTGATGTGACTACAGCCCCTTCAGTAAATAGTTTTAAAAAGAGGTGAACAGCCACGAATTCATTCATGCATTCAGTGGCTGTACCTAATGCATGTGTTTTAGCTTAGAAATTACCAAAATAAATGATTTCATAAGCCTTTGAAAGTTGTACTGGCCTCATTAATTTTGCTGGACACACTCCTAACGGAAGTCACTTGGTCAAGTATCCTGACCAGAGCACTTCTGCGTATACTGTGATACCTACCTTTTACGACCTTAATTATACGGCACCAAAGACTTGAAGCAGTACTTTAACATCAAGAGGAAAGTACAAGGAAGTCAACTAGTCTTTATTAGCTCTTCTGAAAAATGTCGGATATTAAAAAGTATTTACTTTTTGGCTGGAGGTGTTTTAAATAATGCGTTACAGTACTGTACTGCAGCATTTGAGGAAATCTCTTACTTGTTTTCATTCTTTTCATTTTCTTAAAAGACCTGACTTAGTCTACGTTACTCACTTAGCTAAAATAGGACTCACTAACCTATCTTGCCCAAACGCATTGTCCGATGCTGAATACGAGCGTGTATCTACGAAAACTTTGGAGTTACTAGCAGACTCTTTTGAACAACTTCCAGAACGCTTTGCGTTAAACAAAGAATATGATGTCGAACACGCCTATGGTGTCTTGAAGGTCACTTTTGGTCCTCAAGTTGGGACTTATATTATTAATCGTCAGGCCCCAAACAAGCAGTTATGGCTTTCTTCTCCTCAAAGTGGCCCTAAACGTTACGATTATATCCCATCGATGGGTTTGTGGATCTATAAACATGATGGCAAATCTCTTCACTCTCTTCTCAGCGAAGAGGTCTCCGCCATCGTAGGTGGCTCTGTAGAGTTTCAAAACTGAAGCCTGCTTTTCGGCTGGTCATATATTATTCTGATATATATTTACACGCTTAGAAAATACTTTCACTGGACCTACCAAACTCAGTAAATCAATGTTTGTGTGAGTTCAGCCATGTTGTACATATAAATTACAATCTTCATTTCTTCCGAAATGATCCAATTTTGAAACTTGTACTTATTTTTTTTCCTGTATTTTCGAAATTCATATGATCTGTCAGCGACTCAATCATAAAAGTATGTGAATGGAAGTTTTTGTTTTTGATAGCTTTTAACACTAGGTTAATTAAGATGTACTTCGTATCCTTTGCGTAGAGCTTTGTGGGAAGCGATAGTCAAATTGTTAGGTCATCAGTTTTCAGTTGCTCGACTACCACATATCAGTCCCTCTAATTAATCTTCATTGTACCGTATCAGATGCATCAGTACTTAATCAACTTGGTAACGCTTAAACTGTCAATGGATACATCAACGAACACCAAATTTTCGTCCGCGTTCTGTGATTTCCACAGGGCCTTTCCTAATCTAAAGATTGGGTAAATAAGAATTACTAGGTAACATTTCTTAGGCGTCAATACCCTGTGAGTATACGTTCTTTTTATGTATCAATATACCTCTTAGTATTTTAGACAGTTGTCCATTGTTTAAAAAAAACACCCACTTCTTTAGTATAGATCTCAGTGTTTGCCGAATTAGTTTATTATCTGTTAATTAGCTAATAGTAATTCATTTTTAATTTCATTTCGTGAATGTTGTTTGTACCTGTTTTAGGACTAATTAACAGTTTTTAATGAAGTTTGACAGAAGGCTGCATTTTGTCACCGTCTTTTGCCGAGCAGGATTACATCATCTGCGTACTCCTAGTTCGACTAAGTGGATATCGGTTTATGCCACATAATAATTTTTACCCTGTTGATAATATTCAGCTTAAACTTGACAGCACTTTGATAACTCAGTACGACGGAACTGATAATTATTTTGTCCGGTATTTGAAACGCATATACACTTTATCCAGTGATAAGCCGTCAACTAGGAGTTTGTTTCTTGATCTCTTGCAATGGTCATTATGTTACTGTGATAGTTATTTCTGTAGGATGGTGTGTAGATTGTGAGCGGAAAATCTTATTTGGTTAGTTTTTTCCCTTCAGTGCTAAAATGTAATTTTAGCAATTTGTTGGTACTTTCGTTACGTCTGTTTCATAACGCAACCTACAAAACAACGACTTTCAGTACAATACAGCATAAGAGACATCCACTAAGTATTTCAACTTGACCTAACTACCTCGATAACCTGCTCAAGTACTAGTATTTTAATTTGTCTAAAAAGGCAACTGTTTATATCCCTTCCTACTTTTCCATTCAAGTCATTGGTAAATGTAATCACAACAGTAAGCTCAATCTCCATAAGATGAACCAAATGCATAGTTTGTAAAATAGCTTCTGGGTACTGAGCAATATATTTTTTACAGCTGGAGGCGTCAACAACGCTCGTTGGTTTTTAAAGACTTAATTAAATAACCCCCATTTTATCAGGTATTGGCATGCTTAGTATTGGAAGTTTCTCCAAAAAACAAACACGCTAACCACTTCAAAACTTCATAGTATCATTGATGACAATATAGAGGAAAGCAGCAGTAGTGAATAACTATCGAGCACTACTGCTCGTATTGATGAAATTAAACCTAGTTTTGCCAGTTAATTTGTTATTTACTGTGATTCGTTCTTCTAATTGTCATTCAGAACAAACTCAATTGGTGGGAAACTTATATCTCAGTAGTTTTTACATATATTAATATACGGGCCATATTTACAGGTCTATGCAACAACAACTTCACTCAAAGGTGGACACTCGGTTTACCATGTTTCTATAGGTATTCCAGCTAGATAACTTTCCAGAATCATTCCAACATTTGTGAAGGGAACTGTGTATGAGTTGTCTGCGCTTAAGCTCTCTGGTTGATAACAGACATTGGATGTACCTCATCTAATTCGCTTGTAATACTAGGTTCATCTAATATTTCCTATCTGTTTAGTTACTGATAAAACTCGTTCCTGCCTGCTTTTCGAGTACGATCAGTTAAAGTGTCGACGGAGATGATTCTACTTACGTCAGTATAGTTGAATAACCTCGCATCCACTTTCCGATAGAGACTGAAAATATACGAACTTATGATTGTTTCGAGAGCAAGAGTAAAATCTCCATAAATACATACTCAAAGGAACAGGATGGTTGGTTTAATGAATGCTAGCTTCAACTCCACATCAGTAGTTAGTTGACTTCTTAGTAATCCTTTAAAAGTTAACGAAACGGCTTTCTTGATGTACTTACTTACTTACGCCTGTTACTCCTCGTGAAGGAGTATAGGCCGCTCCCCAGCATTCTCCATCCAGGCCTGTCTCAAGCAATCCTTTCCAGTTGTTATTTATCCTTTTCATATCTGATTATATTTCCCGACGTAATGTGTTCTTTGACACTCCTCTTTTCCGATTCCCTTCAGGATTCCAAGTTAGAGCTTTCCTCGTGATGCAGTTTGGTGATTCGTGTAGTGTATGTCCTATCCATTTCCATCGTCTTTTCCTAATTTCCTCTTCAGTTGGGAGCTGGTTTGTTCTCTCCCAGAGAAGTCTGTTGCTGATGCTATCCGGCCAATGGATGTTAAGTATCTTGCTTAGACAACCATTTATAAATACTTGTACCTTCTTGATGATGGTTGTATTAGTTCTCGAAGTTTCAGCTCCGTACAGTAGAACTGTCTTAACATTCGTATTGAATATTCTGACTTTGGTATTAGTTGAAAGTTGTTTTGAGTTCTGTATGTTCTTCAATTGTAGGAATGCTGCCCTTGCTCTGCCAATCCTCACCTTTACGTCTGCTTTTGATCCTCCTCGTTTATCGATTATGCTTCCCAGGTGTGTGAAGGATCCTAGATCTTCCAGAGTTTCGCCATCAAGAGTGATTGGATTGCTGTTCTCCGTGTTGTATTTGAGGACCTTGGTTTTCCCCTTGTGTATGTTGAGGCCTAGTGATGCAGAAACTGCTGCTACATTGGCTGTCTTTATCTGCATTTGTTCGTGTGTATGCGATAGGAGGGCTAGGTCATCTGCAAAGTCCAAGTCGTCTAATTGGTTTTTCTTGATGTAGCTGTTTAATTATTACAAAATCTCTCTTTAACTTTCAGGGTTACCGTCGATTCGTTCCTGAAACTCTAAGCTTATAATCATTAACACAGTGAATTTTATTGGATTTTCGAATATTCGTTGTGTTGCTTGTGATATATCAGCACTTTTGACGAACTGTCAAGAGCGATAAAAGTTACTCCAAGAAATATATCAGACCATCAGTCTTGAGGTTACTCCAATTGTCAGGAAATATTTTCGGAATTATTCTAAATCAGGAAAAATTCCCAGGTAATTGAACTGTCAATGTGAACACTGCCGAGATATTTACATAAAAACGGTAACCTGGAAGCCATCGTGTAATGGTGAAACTCTGACTTGTTCAGCGATGTTTATTAACTGTTGGCTTTCTTTTTACTTTAATCATAGAAACAGTTTGAGGAGTTTGACAAAAGCACTAGAATTGCCAAAGACGGTTTTTTGCTTAAACTTTTAACGCTTATCAGTTATCACAGTTTTAGTTTCAAAAATTGGAAATACTGTACTTTCTTAATGTCTTCTTAACTTGGGAGTATTCTGCGTATGCATAATATTAATCGGGAAACTGGCTTAAGTTAATATTAGCTAATAAAACCTGTAAAAGTTCATAGTAGCGAATAGTGTGTATGATGTAAAACATCTTAACTTCTAATATAACCTAACTTGATGATTGCAGTTTATTTTGTCGAATGCAGTTAGCCGCTTCCAAGAGATTACTTAACTATATCACTTTAATATTGTTTATATTTAGATGTGTTTTCGCTGCATAGGCCGAATGAATGCTTAAGGTGTCGTCTTTAGCTCTGCAGGAGTTCACTATCCTGTCACTCAGTAGATAACTGATATCTGTTCGCTTTTGAATTTGTGCTTTAATTTACATCGATGAACATGTTTTCCCAGTGATAAGTGAGTAAATACTAAACTTTTACAGGAATTGTAGGTTAATGAAAACAAACCATATTTTGTTTGATGCATACTATGTCAAATAAAACTCGAAAGAATAAAAATGGTTGGATGCAACTCTAATGAAGTTTGTTACTTACCTCAACTAATATAGGCGACTATCACTAAAGATAATTTCCCTTATACGTTTCTTTTGTTCCCAATAACGATTTGATAGGTGACTCCAAATGTTGAATAAGAAATAAGTTAACGTAGCTTTCATCCAATCATATCCGACAGATTCACGGATAAAAACACAGATGAGCCTATCTTTAGAACTAAGTAGTTACTTTTCAAGTTACTTCACTTCTTTCATAAAAGGGCTTTTACTCTGCTGGACCGTTTATTGTACTGAATACTCTTATGATATCAGAAGAACCAAGCTTTCAACCGCCTGATCTATAAATCCTTTTGAAGTGCTTTAAGTTTAACGATATGTGATATAAAATTTTTTTGATAAGATCCTGGTTAAGATAATAGATTCTAGACAAAAGTAGTGTAACAGTCTAAAACTTCTACTCATGTATATAATAAGTATTTTTCTGTGAGCTCATTGTTGAAATCGTCATGGAAAAAGCGTTGCTTCTCCACTTATTTTTTGTAAAATATCCTTTCTATAATCATATCCCTGATTACATGTAATAATAACAATGACGAATAGTCTTACGTAGGTTTTACGGGTGTAAAACGGATATCTATAGATTCAAAGTAATTATTGTTTGACTATTATACAACGGTGTGATGCTTATAATGTAGTTCATAATCTCCCCAGAAGTCATTTCTATTATTTGTCAATCGATCTTCAAGGACAGTACAGAACTAGGACCTATTATCCTTATGAGAACACTCAATTAAATGTCATATGAAATCATATGTAACGATTGCAATGATAACGGTGATCATTAGTAAACACAAGGTTGATGATTAATAGATTAAATAAAGTAGCTAATATTTGAGTTACAGTTCTTGCGAACTTATAAAGTCCATATTCTTTATTCATAAGTATATGATTTAGGATTTAGAAGTGATTAATTGCTAGAAACTATTAAGGAATAATTATTCGCAAACCTGACTAGCATTAGTGTTATCCTCTACCTGGATAAGCAATTCTGTGAATTAATAATTAAATCAATTATTAAGAATTTAATTATTTGAATAAGCATCAATTACCCTGGGAAAATTGAAAAACAAATAAACAGTAATTCATGAAATCACTTATATTTAGTTTAATTATCATGGTTTGAAACAAATCGGCGTAATATAATGGTAAAATAATTTATAAGATTCCCTGATAGTGTGGTGTTACACTGAAACAACATCAATTGACTCAGAGCTGGAAATACGTTATTAAGTCGTTTTAACAGTGGTGATCATCCTCAATATTTCTTTCGTTATCTTTAGGGATTCTTTCAGCTTTCACAATGTTTATTCATTGTTGCTCATTAAGAACAATGTATCAACTTGAAAATAACAAGCATGCATTTATCAGTAATTAGATAGAGAAGTCTTTTTTCAAACAAAAACAAACATGAAATCTCATTTTCTCACTGAAAGCGCATCACAGTGGAGGCGTCAGTAACGAAAGAAAGTAATCAATATAAGAAGGCTTATAACAGTATATATTTGTTTTCTTCAATTATATATATATATATATATATATTTATATATATATATATATATTCAGTTCATACATCAAAATTTGTAAACCTAATGTATACAATCATTAATTGAAATTTTAGAAAAAATATTATCATGATTTTAAACTAAATTTGAATGAGAAAATTATCATCATAAAAGTCAGATTCAATCAAATGAAGACAATAGAATCAATAGTAATAATAATAATTGACTGGAATTGTAGTTAGGGTATTTTTTTTTTAGGAGAAACGGTGTATATTTTTAAACAACATAGTTCAGATAATAATAAACAGAATGAATAGGACAATAGAATAGGTAAAAGAAATTATCATTCCTGTTCACATTTTATTATATGTTGTAATAAATTTAATAAGATAAGAGCAAGAACAAATGAAAGAAATAAAAATGAAACTGGATAGAATGAATGACAAGATGAAATATGTATGTATTTTTGAATATGTCCATACATACAGATATAAAGTCTGTAAGTACAGTATTGTATTGTTTGATAATATTATATTATTCAACTAATTAAGTATCTGAACTACAAGAGGAAAATTGTTCTCTCATTAAGTGGAATCTTATTTAAAAATTGGAAATCTAATTAAGAGTTTAGAAAAACAATAATTGCAGGAAAGTCAGAATATTTGGTTACAATGACATTGAGTTTTGAGTTATCTTCATTTAACCGTAAAAATAGTGAGATTCCTAATCGTTTTTCAACCCTCTGAACCTATCATATATATCATGCAGTTTAAATAACTTATCCAAGTTTTTATGGTTAAAAATGTAGACAATCATATAGGTTATTTTATTAAGTGTACTTCAAGATAGACAAATTGTGAATATGATGAATTGTTAATAGTTTGAAGGAATTCTATAACTCTATTTCTAAGTTAATATTGTTGTTTTATACTAAATTCAAAACTAATAATACTATCACTAAAACAGTAAACAGTAGATATTAGATGGTTACTGTGCTTTAAATATGAAGAATTTAGAGGAATATGAGAAAAGGTGATATAGTCCATCTGTTATAGTTGTTTGTGTTTTTAAAAAAAATCAATATATGTATATATAACCTCACACAGCCTTATTCAGTCTTATTTATAGAATAATACCTGTCAAGGGAAAAAAATGCTCATAATTTGAATGAGTAAAAATGTATCAGAGAATATTCACTTTGTAATCAACAATTATTTTAAATTAAACTGTTCTATAATTCTTGAATAATAAGATAATGTATACTGTTTATGATACTGATTGTTTCATCTCAATATTTCACATAAATTCTCACATATACATACATTAAGATTGTAATGTTGTATGCAAATGAAATATACTTAAGTAATTTAGACCATATCACAATCTTTTATACATATAATTGTAAATATTAGTAGATAGGAATAGTAATTGTGTAAAAAATAGTAAATAATGGCAAATGGTTTTAGTAGACATGTGATGATGATTTTAATAATAATAATAATAATAATAAAACATGAGTAAAATTTACCCAAGGTAAAATTTAATTCATAATGTTAATTAAGCAGTGAAAACACTTCTTAATTACTGATTTAATTGAATACCTTTTTCGTCTGACAAATATATGTGTGTATATATAAATGTATGTTGTTAAAGAAAGAGTTAGGATGATGACAGTAGATCTATTTTCTTTTAGTTGGTTGTATAAAATACTTTTCTAAAAGTTCTGAGAAGAAATTCTGTAAAACTATTTTTCTTGATTGACTGTACTAGAGTTATTATTATTATTATTATCGTCATCACCAATATTATTATCATTATTATTATCATCATCATTATCGTCTTTCAAATGAATTACTGATTTCATAAGTATTTCTTCATTATTCTTTGAAACATTTGTTGATGAACGATTTATTGTTTGATATGAATGTGAAATATATGATTGATTGACATATCGTTTCGATTGATTACTCCATTCCATCATATCACATAGTTTACTTGAATAACCACCACGAAATGCTCTGATTGCACGAAGCTGTCACATCCCATCCAATGAACACACACACACATTCCCACAATGACGTTATATATGTTGTTTTTCCAACGTTCCCAAAGAATTAAAAGAATAATAAATACAATTAATGATAATTCAAATAATTATTCTTTCTTACTGATTGCATGCTTTGAATACATTATATGAGTAAAGCAATAAATAAATAAATATATGTGTATATAGGAATATAGAATGAGTCTAAACATTTATATATATATATGTATATATATATATGCATACATATACTTGGGCATCTTTACAGTATTCTGTTAAATTTAATATCATGCAAAATATTCTATACGAAATCTTTTATTTATGAATGTCGATATTCTTTCCCAATCTTATCTTAAGCAAAAAATAAAAACCTAATTATTTTCATTCTATCATATCAACAATAAAAATAAGTGAATTATTCAAAGGTCGAAAAAAAGATTAACTATTTTGACATTTTCTGAAACAAGGTGCTCATCAATGAATGGACCAATCAATATTGTTATTATTATACATGCTAGGAGAATGTGTTGACGTGCAAAATGTGATCTAACAGTGATAGGATAAAATGAAATAAGAAAAAAACACAACACTAACCAAATGATAGGAAGAGAAACTAGTCATAAACTATCCATATATAAACTATAATATCATGCTTGTGTTTCATACTAAGAAATGGCATCTCTAGTTTCAATGGTTCAAATGACGGCTTAAAAATAAGCAAATAATGTAAATGATTATGAGGCAAGTTAAAAATTAGATATAATTTTTTGTTGGGACAGTTAATTTATTTTCACTATTGAATTACAATGGGAATAAAATAATAAACCAGACAAATCCATATACATATATATATATAGGGAGAGAGAGAGCAGTTTACATACAAAGGATCTTCTCTTGTGACAAGACATACTATAGTACGGAAAATAATAAATATTAAGTAATTATCATATCACGTAAACCTAATAACAACAGTAACGGTCATTGTTGTTAGTGTATAGAAATGAAAACTTCCCTTTTAAGTAAATTATAAATAGTAGAAAGGCTTTACAATGAATTTATATTTTAAGCGTAGTCAGTACAGAACAATGTTATGTAAACAAAAAATCAAACTAAAACAATGACTTGAAATTGTGTTGGTAACCAAATGATATTTAAAATTGTAGAATTTCAATTAATTGTTAATAACTGTTGACAAGTTGATTTCACTATTAAAACAATAATTAACTAAATAACTAGCTATTAATACTCTTTATACTACTTAATAAAATTAAAAATATCAAAGAAGATTGGGAAAAGCTATTTTATAAATCGTTAAAATAAATTATCTTTAATAATGGATGACATTCAACTTAAAGTTTTCTATTTTTATTCAATGTTTTTTTTAATTATTGCTTCCTATAATCCATATATATATATATATATGGGATAGTGGAGATCTATAGTTCAGGTGGTTGATTTAGGTAGAGTTTTGTTCACTGATCTGGACAGTCTAATTATGAAGCGTTCACTGTTCTTCTGAATAACATTATTAGCACAAACTTCAGGTATATATATATATATATATATATATATATATATATATATATATATATATATAAAGGGCAGTTTACATACAAAAGCTATTCTATTGTGTACAAGACATACTGTAGTGTGAAAAATCAATATTAAGTGATTATCATATCACGTAAACCTAATAATGGTAAAGTAAAAAAGAAAGTTGTATCAAGAGTCTAAAGGAATAACAAAAGAAGTTGAAGAAAACTCTCATGAGTAATCACTGACTACTTTCTAATGGTTTTTTTCCACGGATGTTTATCTATTAAATTTTTGTTTTTATCTCAAAATTAATAAATTTCGTACCAAAATTGAAGCTCATTCACGTATATCAACATGTGCACAACAACAACAAAAGAATAAATACAACAAATATAGAAAAATAAAGTTTCATTTTTTGTTTTGAAAACATTAATTATTAACTTAAATCAAACTGAAAGTTAAATATATAAAATTAATTAAATCTCTCAGTGTGTAAAATAAAATCACAATGATAATAATGATAATGAGTTAAACACATGATAGTAATGATGATAGTGATAGTAGTAATAATGATTACAACGTTGAAAAACGAATAAGCGGAGGAAAGTAAATTAGTAGTCACATTATATATAAAGATAACTTACCTTTCAGTGGAATAAAATGCAGTTTTTTTGTTTGAATATATATATTACATAATTTAACGATGATGATGATAACAATATTGATAATGATAATAAAACTGATTTCAAGCATTCAATGAATACATTTCACAACCATGCATATAACAAAAGAATAATAAATGAATTAAATTATCATAATTATATGTGCACATTTGTTTTTTCTTCTTTTCTATTGATTTTTGTTTGTTTAAAAATAAAAGAGGGAAAATTTGTGCTTTTCAATCTACTGTGTGAAATTGTTAATAAAAAAAAAACTTGAAGAATGTGCTGAAAAAAATTATTATTTTTTATAAATTTCATTAAAGTATAGAAAATAAATAGATTGATGGAATAAGATGTTTTAGAGAGGGAATCATTAAGTTAATATTTCTTTGAATATAATAACATTATATTAGAATTAATTTAAATAAACCAAAGTAATTGACGGTAAGAATATAGAAGTAGTATATAATATAAAAAATGTTTCCTTTAAATATACGTTGGAAAACAAAGTGATTTCCAAAAAAGTTGTTGTTGATGATAATAATGATGATGGTGATGATGATGATAATAATAAAAATCACTGTAATTGATGATTGAGCAAATTTTAAACTGCTAGGCAAATCTCTATTTCTTCTTATATGAAATGAGTTAAATGTAAAGGGGAATGTTAAATAATTAGTAATTAATTAAGATGAGATTCTATATATGAAGTAAGAATCTCAGTTTTAACGTATAGAGTTTCATAGATATGAAGATTTCACTGAGATTACAAATTGAACAATGTTTCTAGTAGACAATATCTTTAGATTTAATTTACAAATAATAGATAAATTCTTTTTTAATGTAGAGTAAGAAGTAATATGTTTATTCACTAATTTGTTGAGGAACAATGCATTATTATATAAACAATAAGAGATTATATATCATGTTCTTTTCAATAATATAGGTAGATGAAACTTAAGAATAAAGAGTTGGACTGATGTATATCACAGGAAGTTTAAAGTAAATTAGAGCTGTCTGAGGTAGCTGTACTAAATGGTTGTTTAAATGGAGGTGGCGGAGCAGGTGGTTTACTTGATCTTCTTTGTTTATGCGGCCGATTTGAATGTTGATTTCTTCCAACTACAACGGTATTTGAATCTTGACGCTCAAATGTACATGCTGAAGGATTATTTTGTAGTTGAAAATTATTTCCCATATTATATGATGATTCTGGCACAGTACAGCTTATGTTTTCTTGCCCACTTGAATCATGTAACCAACTAGATTTAATCCATTCTTCAAGATCTGGATTTATCATATTGTCTGTAGTTTCCTTTGAAATTTCATAACCAGTTTCTTTAAACTGTTTATCATCATTACTCTTCTTGCATTTCATTGTTGTCACTTCGGCAAGTGTACTTTCCTGATCATGATCTTGTCTTTGTTGACTAGTGTTAACATTAATATTATTACCATCATCGTTGATATCACAATGGTGATTGCTATCATGATACTTTTCTTCATCATTAGTTAGCTCTAAAACTAACAGTGGATGTCCTTCTGCAATTTTTTCTCCCAACTTATTTGATGTAACTGGGAAAGTAGGAGAAAAGTCTGTGGAATCTGTTAGTTGAAGTTGTTGTCGTCGCTGTTGGTGGTGGTGGTAACGATGGGATTGTTGATGTGAATTAATATTATTATTGTCATTATTATTCTTATATAGTTGCTGTGATTTTCTTCTTTTCTTTGATGTTGGTTGTAAGACATCTTTTGATGAACGATGATGATGCATTAACGCTGCTATATTTGCACGTTCATCTTCTGAATCCCGTTGATCTCGAAAAGCATGTACAACTTTCAACTATTTTTTTATTTATTTGTAAGTAAACATGAAGTACAGTTACAAATTGTATTAGTGTATTTAAATAATTTTTAAGAAAGCGATATCAAATGAACAAAAGTAATAACATTTAGGTAGACAAATTTAGACAGTAAAGAAAGAAAAAAATTATAAACGGAGAGGAAATAAAATCAAACAATATTATGTAGAAAATAAAAACCAGTACCGAACAAAATAAAATAAAAACAATTTCAAACATGTGATCAAACATACATTTACGAAACATAAAAAACCATCCACACACACACACACACAAACAAACATAATTTCAACACAAATTGACATTTACAACAATTAGGTAGGAAAAAAAACCCAGAAAAAAAAGAAAGGAAATCGAGAGAGAAGAAAATAAAATAAACGTCATTCTTAATGGTCATATAATTTATACGAATCAAATCAACAAGAATAACATTAAAAAAATGTTAACAAGTTATTCATGAATAGCTTATAATAAAATTATCAAATAAATCTCTGTAAACTATTTCACTAATCTGTTTGATGAATGATCTGTAAATAAATGTTAATTTCAGTAATATATTAATTAAACTTTAGTACAGTTGTTTGTTATCTTTCTAAAAGATTACCTAATGTGAAGTATCATGGAATATTTGATCATCAAAGTTTTTGCTTATCTATTCAACTGTTCATGGACATCAGGTTTATTAACATTAGTATTTAGCTAAAACAAGAGAAAAGTTCTTAAATGTTCAGGTAGGATGTGTAACATATTTTATACATCCTACTTTCCAAAAGTTTTTTCTTCCACTAAGTATATGTGATGATATTTTTCTTCAAATGGATATATATATATATTATTGGATGAAGATTAAGGCTTGAATTGTAAACTTGTTTAACTAATAACTAAACCTGCATTTCTATCATTAAATTTAAATATTGCATCTCTTTGT